TCACAAATGAGTCTGTGAAGAGGGAGAAAGGTTGAAAACAGAGGTAAGAAAGGGAAAATTTTTACGAGGTTTGTTTAGCTCGCTGACCTGAAGTCAAAGCCACCCATGTCGTCTAGAGTCTCTGATTCTGATCCAGCTTTCTCTCGGAAGTTATTTTCCATATATAATTAAGTAATAATGATGGTGTTAATCTTTTGGAATAAATCCAGCTTTTCTTTTCTTTTTTTCCCTGACTTGTGGCCCCCAACATCCTATAGATCCATAAAATTGTTGAATGAGTAAATGTTGAATGGGTGGATGGGTTATGTAGGGGCAGGGTTTATTATCTCCATTCTCTTTTACAAGTGAGAGAGATAAAGTTGAGAAAAATTAAATCCCTAAACACAAAGTCTGACTTATTTTTTCTTCTAAATATTTTTTGTGCCTGCTAATCTCTTAGTTCACATTTCTATTATCTGTTAACTTGACTTGCAGCAATGACTGCCTCGGTTATCTGCCAACTGTATGGGTGTCGCCCTTCAGTTCATAATTTCACAAGTTAAATGACACTTTCCAAGCCATTTCCACTGAGTTATATTACAAGATAAATGGCGCCAATAAGAAAAGAGTACCTTTGCTCCACGCCCCAGAATGATCTTGAATGACCAGTGTGACTTTGCCAGTTGTTAGTCTAAGACCTAGAAAGTTGATCTTGCTTAGTGTGATGTCCATAGCTCTGCAGAAACTGGCTCCAGGATCATCTCCTGCCACTTCGCAGATATCCTTAATTCCAGCCCTTATACCTTTTCTTTCAGCCACATGGGATCACAAACCACTACCCAAATAGGCCAGACTCATTCATGCCTTTGTGCTTTAGCATATGTAATACTTTTCAGAACACCTTTCTTTGCCTCACCTTACTTATCCTTTAAGCTTCGTCTTAGGTGATCTTGGTCTTACAAGGTCTTCCATGATGGCCTCAAGCATAACAATTCGTTTTGTTTACCTTCTGTGTACTGACAGCGTTTATCATAGAACTTTGTACACTGTGTTGGGACTGTTTGTGTGCACGTATGCTACTTCCCTTAGGCAGTAAGCTCTCGAAAGATGGGTCCGCTTATCTTTCCTGATAATACTGTGAGTGTTGCAAAAATGCTGCATAAATGTTTGTTAGATGAATGCATGAACACAAGATCTTTGCTGTGAGATTAGGCAGAAGAATGAGCCTGGGAGAGAGTACGTATACATAATTTAGTTGAATAAATTAATGAATGTATTTTAGCATCTATGGCTGAAGATAAATATATATTCTCTTCAACTGTAGGTTTAGGAGGCTTTATGCATGTCAGGACTTTTTGGGAGGGTCTTTCCCTGTCTTGTGGTAGAGACTCATCATTCTGGATGTTAAAACTTCCTATCAATAACCTGACTAGCCTCCAGGGTTAGGGAAGAAAATGGACTATTTGGAAGGAACACTTAGATATTGTCAGCCATTGGATGAATTACGAAACAGACTAACAAACACAGTTCTGGAAGGAACTAGCAGGAAAATCAAGCAAGCTCAGCTGCATTTCAGTCACACAGCTTCTAGGTGGTCAACTGTCCAGCATTTCAATGCTGACGGACTGCTAATGCTGGTGGATGTGTGACACCCTCACAGATGGTCAGAGCAGCAATAATAGATATTGCTTAAAGCAGACTAACTAAAGCAAACATGCCCAGATGTGTATTAGCAAGAACCTCAGGCTGGAGGGAAGAAAACAAGTACGTGCCTTTCAGCCAATACTTACTCAACTCTTCAGTACTCCCATATAAACAGTAAGAGGTTAGAACTGGAGGGCAAGTGTCCTTGCAGCTCTACTAATCCTTTAGATATTTACAAAACTTCCCATGTGTTTTGGACAAAAGCTCAATTCTCAAGCTGGCCTGCAATATCCCACCAATCTGACCTTTATTCTGAAGACATAGAAGGGTTTTCATGACTCAAAGAACCAGACACAAGAGAAATGTATTTTACTGAAAAAAAAAACACAACAAAAAACCTGTTCCTTGTGCTGGAAACTGAAAAGATTCCATGAGAGTTTAATAACAAAAATCGTGTTCCTTCTCTCCACTTATATTATTATTTCCAAGATACTGCCTCTTATGAGTAATGCCAAGGGGAAATTACTTTATGTCTAACCCAGCAGTTCTGGGGATGTGGAGAATAAGACCAAAACAAATAGATTGTCAAGGCAGGATGCAAAGGTAGTGATTTCTGATTAGGAGCAGAACTGATTTATAATAACTTTTCTGTCTTCCTTTCCATCCACTTCTTGCCCAATTCATCTAAGCATGGAACAGAGAGGGAAAAGCAAAGGTTTGTGGGGGCAGTATACTTCAGAAGCCACATTATGCTGTGCTCTTTTCCTTGGTTCTTAAACACATACAAATGCTCTTTGACCTTCTGTGTCATTCTAACTTGCTTCCTTGCCCTCCCTATCTCCTCCACTTAGCTAAGATTTTCAATACCCCTTCAAACCAATTTCTGCAATGGAAAGTCCTGACAGTCCCCAGGCTAAAATATTTAACTTCTGCCCTGTGTCAACAGTTAACTACATATGTGAGTATTATCCTTCTTCTCCTATAACAGTACTCACTGTGAGAGCAGAGATTGTAACTTGTCTCTTTGGTTCTTCCTTTTTTTCTTGATATCTTCCCACAATGACCATATATACAGAACATGTTTACTCAAAGGCAGCCAGAGATAAATAGAGCATCTCTCCATATAACTGAAATATTCTTGAGGGACTGAGATTTACTCTAAGAAAATTGCAAGATGGCTAGTGTAGAAAGGACATGATTTGCACTCCCGCTCTCCATGTTGTGTGACTCTGAGCAAATTACTTTAACTCTATGAATTCTGATCTCTGAAACAGGGATGATAATGATGCCTGTGGTATGTCCCTTACAGGGGAAGGAAATGGGGGAAATAGAACCCTTAGTTCTAGATGACCAGGGTCCCTACATCACAAATGTTAGGGGAAGACCTGAGTAGGATTACTGATGAAAATTCACCTTAGAAGTTGTGACGTGCTGTGAGCATCTCATAGGTTACTAGCGATGATCATCACAATTATAACAATGATGCAGTGAACCTTCTGTACCTTCCTAGACACGTGGATGTCTGTAATTGGACAAGAAACATCACCTGGTATCTCATGCTTGTCAACCAAAGAAAACGGCAGCACTGTCACAGTAGCATGGGGGTTGAGGAGAGTGAAAAATGGAGACTCCTCACATGGGATTCCTTGCCGGCATTTCTTTATGTAGTGCCTCAACAAGACACTTCCCCAACAGGCTCTTTGGTAATTGCCTAGAAATGAGACATACTTCTCTCAGTCTCATATGTTGGCGTCTTATTAAGGAGGATTTCTGGTTCTAAGGAGTACTTGGGTCCTGAAAAGACCTGACAGAAGTGCCTGTCTAAGAGAAGAAGTTATTGGGAGATGGGGTGACACTATGCTTCTCGACTTCTTAGAACTCCAAAAGGAGGGCAGGTATAGGGTTCAATATAACCAGAAGGTGAAAAGGCTAGATAGAAAACACTCGTGAGAGCTAGATTCCAAATAATTCTGAAGTTTTGCTGTATGGGTTCCATTTCCACATAGGAGGGTACTATCAAGCCCAAGGGAAACTGAGCCTCAAAATTTTTAAAAGAAGTCAGATGCAAAACCTTGAAATAGATGATTTAGACAGACAAATGCAGGGGAATGAGTAGGTGGACTTGACAAATAACCTCCCATTCAGATTCCTGAGAAATCCATGCATAATCTTGCCACATGTTGTGAAAATATGAACTTTTTAGACTTGAACTCTGAGGTTTCTGATGTCCCCCATTACTTTTGTATTTTTTTTTTCTGGAGTGGTCAGTTGTTATTGTGTATGTGTGTATGTATGTGCGCTCATATGTGTGTTCTCCAAAAGCCATTTCTTTCTTTTATTATTATTATTATATTTATTTTTTTATAAACAATATTTTTAATTATGATATTGTGGGGTACAGTTAAGGGTTAGGTATACAAATATGCTTCGTTCAGGCACCCTTGTTCATAAGAGGTGTCTCCCCATCCCCAGACAGATATTTACTACCATTAATCCCAACTCCCTTCCCCTCCCCCATAGTTTCCCACCACTGTTAGATGTTCTTTTTGAGTCGGAGTCTCACTCTGTCACCCAGACCGGAGTGCAGTGGCCGCTCCCGACCACCGCAGCCTCGACCTGCTGGGCTCTGGCGATCCTTCCGCCTCAGCCTTCCGAGGAGCCGGAATTACAGGCGCGCACTACCACGCCCGGCTGATTTTTTGATTTACTGTACAGACGAGGTCTCACCAAGTTGCCCAGGCGGGTCTCGAACCCGCGGGCTCAGACAATCCACTCACCTCAGCCTCCCAAAACTCTGGGATTACAGGTTGAGCCACCGAGCCCGGCTATGATAGATGTTCAAGGTCCACTATATGAGTGAGAACATGTGATGCTCAAAGCAGTTCCTGTGAACAGCAGAGTCATCTTTTGTGTCTGTCTGTTCATTTTCAGGGTTAAGACATTCTCTCTACACATCTCTCCTCTCTGGTGCAATCTTTAAATTGGTTAACTCACACAATAGCCTGCTGAGAAGAATTATTTCAGAAATAATTAAACTGCAATCAGGAGTGAATGAGTCAGAACCTAATGCTTCCAGGCTTCTTGGGGAGCTGGCTAAGGAAGTACAGTTAGAAAAGATAAGTTATATTTGTTTTTCTAAAGGTGATAGGGTGGGATTCAGATTTGATCTAAAAATCTGAATACCAAAGGCTGCTTTGAGAGGCTATCTAGTTAATTTCATCTATTCCTTGTGTTCATAAAGACTTGAATCTCAGTGATCTTAAGCAAATAAAATCCCCTGTTATTCTTAGGAGGACTGCATTCCTGCGGAATGGGAACTCAACTTCGTATTTAACATTTATTTTACCTCAATTTCATTTTCTTTTCCTTTCTTTTAGGTTAACAATTCATGCTGAGTGCCCTATGCATTTGGAAGATTTTCCAATGGATGTGCACGCCTGCCCACTGAAGTTTGGGAGTTGTATGTATTTTCTCACTTTTTCTTCCTGTCTTTCAAAAAGAAAACCTTAATGTATCTTATTCTGTCCATTACAACTTTCTAAAACCAAGACCTTTAATCTAGACTGGCATAGGAATAGGTCAGTGAAGTGGGGTTGAGTCATACTAACTGATCAGGAGGAGACTTGGGCTTTAATTGAGTTTTCTTTCTAAGCAGCAAACCTTATTTCACTATTTCAGGCTAATTTCTCTGCAATTAGGCTTTAAACGTTAGATTAAAACATATGTATCCTAAATTGTCCAAAGGGCAAAGCAAGATAGAACTTATGTAGAGTACAGTTGTGGCTTCCTGAGCACAAGATCTGTTAAACAGAATCTGTTTATTCTTTTTGAAATGTATATTCTACCTGCATCATCATATACTTCTGTCCAACTCTCAACAGTAAGTGGTAGGCAGGAAGAAACTGAATATTTCCTCATTTTTGAGAGTATTGCCTTTTCCATACCTGTAAACCTTACAGAGAATGTAGTAGATACATAGTTTATTTTCATATAAATTAGAAAAATCAAAATTGGATAGAATTTGAGTGAGTTTTTTAATCTAAGAAGTTCAGAATAAGTTTCATATAAGGAGTCATCAGAGTAATATATCAAGATCTACTTGATCATGTCTAAACTAAACTTAGCTCTGTGTTTTGAAAAGGAAAGTAGATTTCAAAAGACTAAGATAATTAAATGTGACATCTTTTTAAAATCATTAATTTGTCAAATATTTAAAGATTGTCTCTTGTGTACTGGGCTACATTCTCAAGGTTTTAAATGCATCGATGAGTAGAACAAAAAAACCCTGCTCTTGTGGAGCTTAGGGGAGAGGAGAGTAATAATGAAAGATAAAATAAATAATGAACTAAAAAGTAAAGAATAAAGTATGTTTTAAAGCTAGAAATGCTAAGGGAAAACATAAAAGTACTACAGTATAAAGAAAATCAGCCATGCCTAGGTGGAGGATACGTGTTGACTTTGAAATTAAAAATAGAGTGATAAGGATCACCCTGATTTTTTAAGTGACATTTGAGCAGAAATTTTAAGGAAGTAAGGCAGTTAATAATGCAGATATCCAAAGAAATAGTGCTCCAAGTAGAAGGAACAGCCAGGAAAAATACCTTAAGTTAGAAAACTATCTGACTAGTTCAGAGAACATGAGAGATTGGAATATTTTGGACAAAGGAGTGTTATTATATGATTTATGTCTTAAAAGACTAAGTATTTTTTAAAATAATATAAGTAGTAGAATGATCAGAGCAGGAAGTACAGTTAGGAAGTTAATGCAGTATTTCAAGCGAGTAATGATGATGACTCAGATTAGTGACTGAGATAGAAGGGATGAGAAGTGGCTGGATTCTGGATATATTGTGAAGGGAGATCCAAAAAGATCAGCAATGGATTTAGTTGCCAACAATTATCAAAAGATAGTGAATAGAAAAAGATGGTGAAAAAGTGGTGAATTGTAGATTTTCGTTCTAATAGACTTGCTAGTAAATGAGTTTTGCTTTCATTTTGCATGAAATACAGTTGTTTCTTGGTGAACAGTACTCTTCTCATGAACAACTAGAAAACTTAGAACTTTAGAAGCAATAAGGATTGAACAGACTAAAATTCTGGAGAAAGGAGAGAACCTCTCTTAGATAAACTTGTGAACTGCCACTTCTTCATTCTTGGGGCGTTTGCTGATTCTGAACCTGGACTGTAGACTGGATTCAAGTTTGGCCCCAGGCAGAGGGCTGACACTGGTGGATAATAAAACAAAACAGTGATTTTGATGATCACATAAGGCTAGAATGGCAAAAATGGAAATCTAAAAGATCTCAAATTCTCGACTGATATTCTCCTCAATACAACTGGTGAAGTTTGAATTTGCGCAAAGCATGAGGCCAATAACTAATATGAATAGCTTTAAAAAGCAGAGATGCATTTCCTAAGGTCTTCCTTTGGTGGGGTGGGAGGGGTGGGGAATGAAAAGAGAGAGAGAGAGAGAGAGAGAGAGAGAGAGAGAGAGAGAAACAGAGAGACAGACAGACAGACAGACATACCTGGATGTCAGTTTAAAATTCTAGAGAGCTATATCCTAGTTACAAGGGAACAGCACAGACAGACCAGATTTAACCAAAACTGTAACCCAGCCAGTACCTTATGGGGTTAAAGGGATAATGCTTCTTCACTATCTGTATAGCACAGGAAAGAAGGAGACTTCTTTGGTAGAAGTCTTTTAAAACTTTGTAAAAGCTAAAGTTTTATACACAATATTTAAAATCCAGTAAAAAATCATTAAGCATATGGATAGGCAGAATAATGATATGTAAAACCAATATTTAAAAAACAAAAACAGAAAATATAGAAACAGACTTACAGGTGATCCAGATAACAGAGTTCACAGCCAAGGACTTTAAAAAACTGTAGCTGATAATTTCAAAAAAAGAGGAAAAATGAATAGAACAAATCTTACTCTACAAAGGTAAAAAATTTCGACAGAAAAATTGAAATCTATAAAGAAGAATACGTTAGAAATTACTTACAGAAAAGTACAATATCTAAAATTCAGAATTCAGTGTATAGATTTAATAAGCAGAAGATAGGATTAGGTGACTGAAAAATAGATAAACAGAAAATAGCAAAACAGAAGCACAGAAAGAAAAAATACAGAAAAGAGTCAAAAGTATCGGGGGCATAGTAAAAGAAATTTTAATGTGTAATTTTGTAAAAAGAAAACAGATAGAGAAAGAAGTAAAAGCAATAATTAAGTAAAGGTCGGTGCTTTTAAAACTAATGAAAATTATAGTCCAAAGATTCAGCAAATCATGTAAATGCCAAGTAGGATAAATACAAAGATAGCAAAGCTAATTCCAAATGAAATATTAAATGAAAATATTAAAGTGCTAAGAATAACTAAGGTGAGCTTGAAGAAGAATAATGCTTGGAAATTTATAATCAAATCTGATCCAATATCAGATATGTTGACTTATTTTGAAGATAGACAGATATACTAAAGGGACAGAATAGAAAGAAGGGAGGAATCAGTTTTGAGTCTTATCTCACATTATAAAAAAGAATACATTTCAGATGAATTGCAGACCTAAATGTGGAAGAGTGTAAGGTAAAAGCTTTTGGAAGAAAACTCAAGAGTGTATCTTCATGATCTTGGAAGAGGTAGAGGTTGCTTAAACATGACATAAAATAGCACTAACCATAAAGATAAAATAGGATAACTTGGAATATGTTAAAAATTAAGGAATTATTTATTAAAAGACCATTAAGAGTGAAAAGACAAGCCACAAGGTGGGAGAAAATATTTGCATTGTATATATGTGACAAAGAACTCAAAGCCATATGCCCTCCTACAAATCTGTAAAAGAAAAAAAAAGTATTCAAAACTCAATAGAAAAAGAGCCGGACCTTGAGCAATTATTATAATGCTATAAGAAAGGGATTGGCAGTAGTGGGAAACTGTCAGGGGAGGGGAGTGGGATTGGCAGTTGAGGGAAACTGCCAGGGGAGGGAGGGGCACACCTCACCGACAAGGGTACCTGCACGATCAGCGTTTGTATACCTAACCCTGAATTGTACCCCACATCTTGATAATAAAAAAAGAGAGAAAAAAAGAAAAAGAGGCAAAGCGTTGAATGGCCCCTTGTAAAACAGTTTCCTAAACACACACACATACACACACGCACACACACACACATACACGCACATTCACACACACACACACATTCACACACACACACACACGCACGGTGACTGACAGCGACTGATTACATTAGTAATCAGGGAAATGCAGATTAAAATCCAAAAGCTACCATTACACACCCACTAGAATGTCTAAAATGAAAAAAGACAAAAAAATACGACCTGTTGATGAGGATGTGGAACAAATCTGTACTCTTGTGCACTACTAATAAGAATGTAAATTTGTACTAAGATTTTGGAAAATTATTTGGTGGCAGTGCTGAACATATGCAAATCATATTACTTTGCTTTAGTCTTGAGTATAGTTCCAAACAGAAATCACTGTTTATGTCTACCAAAAAGTATGTAAAGGATGTCATAGCAGAGCTAATTATAATAGACTCACACTGGAAGCTACCCTAATGTCCATCAGAATGAATTAAAAATTGGTAACATATTCACACAATGAAATATTTTACAGCAATATCAATTATGTTACACTCAACAGCATGGATGAGGTCACGGACACAGTCCTGAGCAAAAGCCAAACACATAAGTGTATATGGAGTGTGATTTCATTTACATCATATGTAAAAACAGGCAAAATTAATCTGTGGAGTCAGAAGTCTTTAATATTTTATCTACCATTGCCATTGGTTGTATTTCCAAATTCCTAACATATAAAGCAGTGAGATTCAGGAGCAAGAAGTTGGAATTCCTGGAAATTTTATAAATTGTTTCTCATATAATACTTCCAACCTTCTTAATATTTTTTACTCATAATCACAGATATCTAACTTTTAAAATAAATAAGAATAGTAAGTTTTAAAATATTAACAAATGCTAAAAGTCTATAAAAGATTACTTGGACACTGGAAAATGCAACAAACTTTAATGGATAATATTTAAATAACTTCTGAATCTCAAAGTAGACAGCATTACACAAAGTTACAGGTCAAAGTTGCTAATAAAATGATTTATTTTGCTTCTCAGATCTGACGTGTCTTGATGAACTGTCAGTGTTTATATGTAGTATATTATGCATATAAAATACTATTTATATAGTATAATATACATAGAGACTTGTTAATATTTAATTTTTATAAATTAGCATTAGCAGAATAGAGAGTCATTAATACATACCTATTATAAGGAAAATCAATGGGCCAGATTGTGACCACTTCAATCCTATGTATTCCTGTCCTAATAACTATACATTTCAAATATTTGACTCAATGTGCCAGTATTTCCTGATCTGGATTTTGATTGACATCAATAAGTTCCTTCAAATTAGTAATGTCTGTTGTGAAGCTTTATTTCTCACAGGAGAATTATGATACTTTTTCCACTTTTTTCTCAATTCTCACCAATTTTTCTCAGGATTTGATGTTTAGAAAAATATAATACTAAGAAGGAAGTTCCATATAGAAACACCGGTCAGGATAGTGATTACCCTTGGAGAGGATTGTTATTGGAAAGAAGCACAAATTATGCTCCTGAGTGCTGATTACATGAGATATATTTCTGGTGTTCGGAAAAGAGATCTGGACTAGAGATTTAATTTAGGTGTCAACTACACAGATGATATTTAAAGCCATATGGCTGGATGAGATCACTAAGGAAATGGCTGCATATAGAGAAGAGGATTAAGGATTGTTTCTTCAGACATGATAAAATTCAGAGGCTAGAGAGAAGAGACTAATTTAATAAATGTGAAGGAGAGGATAGGTGAAGTATGAGGACAACTAAGGGAACATGTTGCTCTAAAGGCCAAATAAACTACATCAAGAGGGACAAAGTAATTCAAATTCTTTAATTCTCAAGTGGGCAGTTAAAATTAACCTTAGAAAATCTCTAATGAAGAAGCAATTTGGAAAGGTGGAGTAAGAACTTCTGAAAGCCTGCTCTTCCATAAAAGCAATGAGGCAATTTTCAAACATTATCAAAATAAGCTTTTTACAAACTCTGGAAATGGACCAAAGGTTCACAACAATTTAATAGCTAATTTGTAGTAAGACCAAGGAGTCCTATTCTCATCCTCCTCTCTTTCATGTTGTAGAAACCTTGACAATTTTGTAATAATTAAAAGGTCAATCCATCAGAAAGATATGTCAATTATTTAAAAATATACGCATCTAACCACAAAGCCCCCAAATACAGAGAGCAACACTAAATCAAGTAGTTCTCAAATTTTTTTTTAGTTACTTCTCCCTTTTCCTTCTCTCCCACTAGTTCATGCCTTTTCTGCTTTGATCTCCATATGATGGGAAGATGGTATTTTTTTTTCACAAATCCCTCTGTTCCCATATATTATTATCAAATAAACTAAAAGATTACTTTTTGCATAAAGCAAATGACTACTGTGGATCCATTGACATTTCTGAGATACTGATATCTACAATTTCTCATCACACTTGCATTAGGATCTACTAAGATTTTCAGGGCAAATATTCAGGGTTATCTGAGCCAGGTACTCAACTTAAGTTAAAAGATTCTTTTAACTTAAGAAATTATTTTGTTTTCTTAGAGATGAAAAAATCTTCCATTGCTTACCCTTCCCCTGAAAAAATCTTGTTCTAGATTTTACATTGGGTAGATTGGATAGAATATTACATTGTTCTTTAAATATAGGGTGTTACAACGATTTGAACACAAAGGTAAGAAGGCATATACAGGTGGCATTGTGCTTAGGAGTAGGGCAAGCACATGTACTAAAGATAGAAGGCCCTAGAAAAACATAAGAGGAGAAGGACCTTGTGAAATCACATTTCACTAATAGTTCGGTGATAGTTCTCACGTAATGTCAGAGTAAATTTTAAGTAAGAATATGGGAAGAGCCCTGAGTAGAAAACTTTCCTTTTCTCTTGGGAATAGTAGTTTGAAGAGCTACAATTCCTACAATTTAAGAGTCCCTGATATCCCATTGGTAGTAGAGGAAGCTGTATTTCCAAGGTTGAATCACAAAGGACCATAGTCATCGATAGGAGGAAGTCTCTAGACCAGAGGTTGCAAACTGAAACTGCAGACGTGATTTGTTTAATTCATACCATGTTTATAACTTTTTAAATTATTTGCTGAGATTTGAAATTTGGGCGATGTCACAAAAGTTCCAGATTTGTTTATTGTTTTATAAAACCATAGGATCTGACAACATTGAGTTCAAATCCGACGTGGTCACAATTTGAAGCTGAGTAGAGGCTGTCCCTTGTAGATAAGAATGTGTTTGCCATTCCTCATAACCTCCATCACATTTGTCTCTCTTTCTGAAAACGGTGTCCAATGTGAGTTGCCATTAATCAACTCATTTGCACTCCTTTTTTTTTAAACTTAGAATTATGAGCTCCCAGTATAATTAAAAGGGAAGTTAAATAGTTTTTGTACTCATATCTATCAAAAATGTTTTAATTAAAAGACAGACTGAGATGGCTTTTTTAAAAAGATGGGAGAGTTTGTATTTCCTTATAGAAATAAAGAATATTTCAGCCAGGCTCGGTGGCTCAGCGCTTTGGGAGGCTGAGGTGAGTGGATTGCCTGAGCCCGCGGGTTCGAGACCCACCTGGGCAACTTGGTGAGACCTCATCTCTACAATAAATCAAAAATGAGCCAGGCGTAGGAGCACACACCTGTAGTTCCAGCTACTTGGAAGGCTGAGGCGGAAGGATCGCCGGAGCCCAGCAGGTCGAGGCTGTGGTGGCCGGGAGTGTGCCACTGCACTCCAGTCTGGGTGACAGAGTGAGACTGCAACTCAAAAAAAAAAAAGAAAAAGAAACTACAAAAAACAAACAAACAAAAACAAAAAAACCAAAAAACAAACAAACAAAAAAAGAAATAAAGAATATTTCTATATCTTTACTATGCATACAAAGTAGGCTTGTTGAAAAACAAAAAACTTCATATATCAAAAGTGTGCAACTCAAAAAATTATGATTGATGTATAGAAAGGATATACAATGCATTATATTAAGTGAAAACACTCAGGAACAGAAAGTTCAAAATTGCATATTCTTACTCATATGTGGCAGAAGCTTTTTTAAAAAGTTGATTTCATAGAAGTAAAAGAATAAAGGATACTAGAGACTGGAAAGGGGAGAGAAAAGGGATAGGGAAAGATTTGTTAAAGGATACAAAGTTACAGCTAGGTAAGAGGAATAAGTTCTAGTGTTCTATACACTGTAGGACAACTATAGTTAACAATATTATATAGTTTTAAATCGCTAAAAGAAAAAAATAGCTAGAAAGAGGGCCTTGAATGTTCCCAAAACAAAGAAATGGTAAATGACTGAGATATGAATATGCTAATTACCATGATCTGATCACTATACATTATATGTCTCAAAACATCACTATGTACCCCATGAATATGTATGATTATTACATGTCCATTAAAAAATCACAAGAAAATAAAAAGTTCTAATAAATAAAAAAGAAAATATTAAAACACTGAAGTTTCGAAAGGTCATGTATCTGCATCAACAACAAAACTTTCCAAGCAATAACATATTATATGGATGCCAAATTTATAAACAGTGTCTATTAATTGCATCAGAAATTATGTGTCAGACTAGAAGTATGGCTGTCAGTGTGTTGAAATGACTGAGACCATATGCAGGACAAGGTATATGGAAAAGTTAAATTTATTGTGGCATTTTCTTTTGCAGCTTATGAGAGAGCAGATATGAAAATATCATTGAGTTATATATATTTTTTGCATGATGTCAATGAGAATTTTGATGGGAATGAATAACTTTTTAGTATGTTGCCCATTACAAGAAAAATCAGGTATATTGAAAATGTCTTTAAAAGCACCGTGAAAGCAGGTCGTAATTAGTACACGTGAGTAGGCATTAATGTCAGACTTATTATGAAATGCATATCATCTGATGTTACAAAGTTTTGCAGGGACACAGAATTTGCATTTGTTCATTGACTGAGATTCACTATGAACTACTTGCTTTGCAGTGAAAGGTTTAAATAGAGCATATCATGGCTGTAGTAATTACCATCATGACCTGGAAACCAGCCCTCCCCCAATGATTTGAACAATAGACAGCTCAAAACTTAAGCAAAGGGGTATGCGTTGTGATGGTCAGCTTCCCTTTATGAGTTCAGATGTCTGAGTCAGGGCAAAGTGTTCACCCCAAATATAAAATTTACTGTGCAAAAAAGTAGTCCTGTCTGGAAATGAAACAACTCATGTATTTAAGGTACTTACTAAAAATAAATAACCCTACCTTATTCCTCCACCACTTCCCTTACCCACACCCCTGTTAAAGTTAGTCTGTACAAAATTCTGAACTTTGCATTAGAATTCTAAATACAAGAATGAACATTAAACCTGGTGTAGAAGAAAAGGTGTCAGCTGTCTGGTTTGCACATCAAAGCAGTAATAAATAAGTTATGTAAGAAACTTGTAATCATTAATTATTGCTATTATTAATTTGAGATTTTTCATTTTTTAATTTAAAGTATCACTACTAGGAATTTCTACTTTAGCTCATATGTTTACCCCATAATTGATTAAAGAGAATTTTATTCCTTTTCTGGCAGTTTATTTTTGTTACAACTAGCCTAATGTGCTCATTTAAGGTACCCCATTCGCCTCCTGTTCTTACTCTCTACCCTCCAAGAGAAGGAAAAGTTTATTGGAAGTCTAAAAGACTTGGCCATTTAAGTAAGATATTACATGCATTTCTATGTGCCTAGCATATACTATAGTTCTTTTTCTCTATAGCCAGCATCTGCTATAATATTACAAAATGTTATATATTATAGTAGTTATTCAATGAGTGTTTATTAGATGAATGCGTGAATGGATGTACTTCAACTGAAGACAGAGCACATACCCAGAATTATTTGGGAATGGAAGCTATCTTTCAATCTCATTCAAGTTTAGTACCAAGGTTAATAATCATTCCCCTTTCTCTTCAACTTCTTTGTCTACCCTTCTTTGCCTTAGATGCCTATACTACAGCTGAAGTGGTTTATTCTTGGACTCTTGGGAAGAACAAATCTGTGGAAGTGGCACAGGATGGTTCTCGCCTGAACCAGTATGACCTGCTGGGCCATGTCGTTGGGACAGAGATAATCCGGTCTAGTACAGGTATTTACTTATTTTATTTAACAAACATTTCTATAACTTGTAGCATATGCCAGTCGTGGCACTAAGTGCTTATAGCTTATTTCAGCTTCAAAACAATGTTATAACAAAGGTACTGTTATCATGAGGAAACTGAGGCACATAGAAGTTCAGTCATTTTTCACATGTCACAGTTAGGCAATGGAAGAACCAAAACATGAACACAGGCAGATTGGTTCCCAAGGCCATCCTCTAACCATGATGCCACACTGCCTCTTAGGCAGCGAGGCTTAAGGTTAAGGGCACTAGGACTAAAGTATGGTAGAGAACAAAGCAGAAAATGTTCATGTCATGGGGAGAGCTAAGCTTTGATTCTAAAGGTTTTAATAAAGAGATTTGCCTTGTGTCCCTCCTGTCCCCAGTCTGTCCTACTGTTCCCCTTACACGTTCTGGCGGAGAAACTTTCTCCTGCTTAAGGGGTGCCGTAGTAACCACGGCTGCTACTGCAACTTCTGGCGCTGATCAGGCTGGATTCGTGTCCACCTGCGCTCCTCTCCTTTCCCCACCCTGCGCTTGCGGGAAAAGTGGAAGATGGCCAGGGAGGAGGCCGAGGCTGCAGCACCACGCAGCACAGAACAGCCAGCAGGGCACAGCAGGCACCGCATAGCACTGCCCTAGAGGTCCAGGGCCTGGCTCTGGCGGTGGCTGGAATTTTCTCCCCCAGAGAGAGAATTCTCTGCATCCCTGGACTCTACTCACCTCCCCGTCCCTCCTGGGCACGGCTCACCTGCCCTCAGCTCCTGAGACCAATCCGTGGCCACCCAGACAGCCTCTGTCCCCATTTCATTTGGTGACACCGCTATTGGCTTCACCTGGATCGCACACACACAGTGCACGTTCATGAGCCATACGTCAGAAACACGCGAAGGAACCAATATTGGATGTTAAAATACTCTCTGATTCCACCGTCTAGAAAAATCTTCTAAGAAAATTTTTGGGACATTAATTGATTTTTGTACATTTTGGTATTTAGGAAGGTTCCATTTCCATTTTTTGTACAAACATGTCTTTATGCATATGGAGCCTTACTATTTTTTTAAATTGTGGGTACAGTTAAGGGTTAGGTATACAAATGTGCATCATTCAGGGACCCTTGTTGATAAGGGGTGTCCTCTTGTCCCCAGAGAGATATTGACTACTGTTAATCTCACCTCCCTTCCCCTCCCTGCTCCCCCATAGTTTCCTGCCACTGTCAATCCTTTTCTTATAGTATTACAATAGATGTTCAAGGTCCACTTATGAGTGAGAACATGTGATACTCAGATCTTTGTTTCTGTGAGAGATCATTCAGTATTATAAACACTAGTTCCATCCAGGTTGCTACGAAGTTCATTATTTTGTTTTTTTATGGCTGCATAGTATTCCATTGTGTATATGTACCATATTTTTAAAATCCAGTCCTCTTTTGATGGACAGCATGGTTGGTTCCAGGTTCTTGCTATTGTGAATGATGCTGCAATAAACATACACGTGCAGGTATCTTTTTTATAGAGTGATTTGAGTTCTTCAGGGTATATTCCCAGTAGAGGGATTGTAGGGTCATATGGGAGGTCGATATTTAGAGCTTTTAGGAATCACAATCGCATTTCTTTATACCAATAATAAACAAACAGAAACCCAAATAAAAAGCACAATCCCATTCACAATAGCCACAAAAAAAATGAAATACCTTGGCATCTTCCTAACCAGAGACCTTTGCAATGAAAACTACAAAACACTGCTCAAAGAAATCAAAGATGACACAAACAAGTGGAAAAATATCCCATGCTCATGGATTGGAAGAATCAACATTGTGAAGACGTCCATCTTACCTAAGGCAATCTACAAATTTAATGCAATACCCATCAAATTACTGGCAACGTTCTTCTCAGAGCTAGAGAAAACAATACAGGAATTCATATGGGAGCCTTACTATGGATACAGCTGTATAAGCTGTTTTTTAAATTTGATTTTATACTATAAACTTGTTTTCATGTCACTAAATATACAAGATCCTGATAAAATGTACAATGAATTTAGTAACAGTATGTTAGCAGTTAGAATGGACACACATTATTACTTGTTTTTGTTACTTTAATTAAAAATTTTAAAAAAGGGAAAAGCCTTCCTCCTAGGCCAAAGCATTACTCACAATGATATGATACGTGTTTTTGTCATTGGGCTCTGTAGCATTTCATCATGAAATCAGTAAAATAGTATCTTTCTTTGTAATGTCCTCATGCATATGGATCACAATCTATTCAATTATCTATTATTATAGTCTATGTTTTAATGCTAGAAACTACACTGTGAAGACTTTCTTTTTTTATATAGCATTTTGTTCCCATGTAATTATCTGCCTAGGATACAGACAGAATATTGAGATTGTTATTTTAGAAAGTGGACACATTAAACATATTTAATATGTATTGACAAACTGCTATTCTGAAAGGTTAAGCAATTCACACTCTCGTGATCAGTGTATGAACATGCCAGTTTCCCTCACCCCTGGCAACACAGGTATTAAGAGTTGAATTGCGTCACCTGGAAAGATATGTTCCAGTCCTAATCCCCAGTATCTCAGAATCTGACCTTATTTGAAAACAGCAATAGTGTAGTTGCAAATGTAGTTAGTTAAGATCATGTTGCAGTAGGGTGGACTCTAATCCAATATGGGTGGTGTCCTTATAAAAAGAAAACTTTGGTCACCACACACACATATGGAGGGCATCGTGTGAACCTGAGGCAGTTTGTGGTGATGTTTCTGTAAGTCAAGAAAATCCAAAGATTGCCAACAAAGAAGTTGAAGCTAAGAAAAGGCAAGGAAGTATTCTCTTGAAGGTTTCAGAGGGAACATGGCCATGAGTCTAGACCTGTGAGAGAATTTGTTTTGCTTCAATCCATTCAGTTTGTGGTACTTTGTTATGGTAGCCCTAGCAAAGTAATGCAACAGAATATTGTCATTCTTGTTTTCTTACTGTTGATCAAAGTAGTACATGGGCATGATGGTCAATTTTTGAGTATGTAGTGTGTACCAAACATTGCTCTGAAGACATATATTAACTCATTTAACCATTGAACAACATTCTGAGGTAGACAATGTTGTTATCCTAGGTTTTGAGACAAAGAAATTGAGGCTCAGACAAATTTAATCATTGTCCTAGGTTCATGCAATTGGTAAGTGGTAGAGGGAAGTTTGTAAACCAGGTAGTAACCTGGCTCCAGAGTCTACACTCATAATCACAACACGGACTTTACCCTTTTTACTTTTGACCAAAGGGAAGGAAGGAAAAAGGGAAAGAAGGGAGGGAAGGAGGGAGGAAATGAAAAAAAAGAACAGATTTATATTGAAAAGCAGTATTTCCCATTTTAACCACTTATGTTTTACTTCTGGTTGCTCCCTCCTTAGTTCTAAATAATGTGTTTATACTGCTATTCTTTTTTTACCTTTAGAGATGAAATATCAATTCCCTACTCTGAAGTATACACGTGCTTGCTCACTTTGATTACCTCACCTTTCCTTTCCTTCACCATGTTTGTTAATGGCTGGATCAAATAGTCTTGTTCCATCAGCCCTTCCATTCTCATATCCTCATGTTCTTCTTTTTTCCAACTTCTGCCAGCTAAAATGTTGCTTTTATTGTCAAAACATATTAAAATGTACATTTGATCCATGTGGTAGGCAGAATAATGGCTCTCCAAGATGTCCAGATCCTACTCCCCGGAACCTGTGAACATGTTAGATTACATAGGAAAGGAGGATTTGGGTTCTTAATCAGCTAATTTCAAATAAAGAGATTATGCTGGATTACCTAGGTTGGCCCAAGGTAACCATGAGGGTCTTTATAAAGGGCCGGCAGGAGGGACTAGAGTCAGAGAGAAAATGGTTAAAAGATTCTTTGCTGCTGACTTGAAAGAAATAAAATGGGGCCACAAGTCAAGAAATGCAGACCAGCCAGGCTCGGTGGCTCAGCCTGTAATCCCGCGCTTTGGGAAGCTGAGGTGAGTGGATTGCCTGAGCCCGCGGGTTCGAGACTCACCTGGGCAACTTGGCGAGACCTCATCTCTACAATCAATCAAAAACTAGCCGGGCGTGGTACCGTGCGCCTGTAGTTCCAGCTACTTGGAAGGCTGAGGCAGAAGGATCGCCGGAGCCCAGCATGTCGAGGCTGCGGTGGCTGGGAGCAGCCACTGCACTCCAGTCTGGGTGACGGAGTGAGATTCCAACTCAAAAGAAAAAAAAAAAGAAAAGAAATGCAGACCACCTTTAAGAGCTTGGAAAAGCAAGAAAATGTGTTCTTTCTTAGAGTCACCAGAAATGAATGCAGCCCTTCCAACACTTTAGCATGGTGAAACCTGTTTTGGACTTCTAACCTCCAGAAGTATAAGAGTATATATTTGTACTGTTTTAATCCACTGAATTTGTGATGGTTTTTTAAAAGCACCAATCAATAGGAAACTAATACAGTTCTACACCAATAATTAAGCCTTCAATATTTTCTGCAGAGATTGATTTTAAAAGTTGAAAAACAGCAGGTGGTATTAGTATTAGCATAACTGTGTAAACATAGTCCTTTGTTTGGATTATATATTTTTTGTTGGAGCCCACCACTTACTTAAATTGCTCTAGTTCTGTGTAGAAGGACTCTTCAATTTATTTTAGAAAAAGGTACTCTAGTTAACTTTCTTTTGACTAGGAGAGTAAACATCTTGCACAGTCACTGTATGTATGGGGAGGTAGGGATAGTCACTGTTCAATGTACAAATCTTCAGTTAATGACCCTGTTTTCCACCCCTGTTTTTGAGACCCCACCACCACTACTGTCCCTGAAACCTCCAAATCTGGGTCCTCTTGGACACTGCCAGCAGGGTTTTCCCTCATAGCTCGGCCCCATCTGCTTCCTTTCTATGCTAAGGCCTGCTCCCTCCATCAGCACTTTCTAAATTCTAAAATTCTTTTGAGCTCTTCCACTCATTCTTTCCTG